CTAAAGCAGACTAAGAGTATGGGATCGGTTGTCAGTGGAAAAGGCAGATAATTAGTGTAATTGTGGCTAGTGGGTAGACAGCCTCCGTTACACAGCTTTTGTGGCTTGAAGGATTCCAGAGCATCAAGAGACGCTGTGGGAAAGATTTACACTAAAAAGGAGAATTTAATAATAAGGATTTGATTAAAAATTGGTAATCATTTGATAACACGAAGTCAGTTTATTAAGAGCAGATTACACTAAAAGATGGCTTTTCCTGCCCCCTGTGATACCTGTGGGATCTCACATTAACCTGCAACAGAAGGGAATTAAGATGGATCAAAGAGCATAAACATTCACTCTCCTTTTGGAAAGATTTTGCTAAATTTCATAGCATGGGTTAACACACTGTGGCATGCCATGTTAACAAGCTGTGTATTATATAGCGAACTGAGAGGATTCTTGCTTGCATGTTATTTAAAGGTAACCTGTGGTTGTGTCTTTACCAGGAAGTGTTCCTTCAGAAGAAGGAGAAATAGTCTACTGACTTAAGAGTGAGAAACGAACAGCTGGTTGAACAGTACTTACCCAATGTTCTTTCCAAGCAGCTGGAACCAGAAACTGGAATCAAAAAACAGACTGTCCACACCTGCTACTCTGGGGACTGAAACCAGTGCATCCGTGCTGCTGCTGAGAATGCAGATAAAGAGAACAGCGCAGCCTAGCATGAGAAAGGTATTTGGGGTCCTTGCACCCATGGAAAAAGGTGGGGCGTAGGATCCTGCATAGCTTCTAAGTGCATCTTGGGTGTTCATCAGTGCTATAAAATATTTCTTGCATTCTCTTCCAGTCATATGTTCTCAGAATCTTCTATCAACTCTTAGTGTCTCAAGGGAAGAATAACTCAAAACACGTGCAGTGCAGGGAGGATTGTACAATGCTGATCCATGTTGAGGAGATCTTTCACAACATACCATGGAAGGAGTTAAAAAATACCAATTTGAAGAGGATAATAGCTGTTACCTCTGACACTAAAGGAAATACAGTCTAGCATGTTGCATTCTTCACAGATAAGACTTGAGTAATTGGAGAACAACGTAAACCAATTCAGTAAACATGTTAATGAAAGCACCCCTCTGATTAAAATAGCTTAGTAGGGTGATCATGTGGAAATTTTAACACAGCTTACAAAAAGCAAATAAATGACATGACACTTCTGTATTGGTTTCAGATGAGCACTGTGCTGGATCTTGAGATGGAAGTTTGAACTTGGTGGCAGTGTCCCAATAGGCCCAGTGCAGCTGTTGGACTTTGACAATATCAATATTTTATTGCAGTCATCTTCCATCTGAAGGATGTTTCCTGGGACAGGGACCCTAAGGGACTGTGTTGCCAGAAAGCTGCTGGAGGAGTTGGAGAGTGGAGGAAGCAGCTGGAAAATAATCCAGATGATGAAAAGGCCGGGCTGTGCCAAGAGCTGCTGAGGCAGAAGGAACACTACAACAGAGCTGCCAAGTGCATTAACCGGGTAAGGCTTCTGCAAGCTGCAAGGCGTGGATTGGTGAAAGGTGAATTCCTCATTGAAGAAAAAGCTCTCAGTGATGTGCACTGCCTTTTGGGATAGGAAAGGGGTGACCCTGCTGGATTTCCTAGAACTCAGACCGCCACCACCAAGTCTGAACGCTATGTTGCGATGCTCATTAAGCTGAAAACTTGAACGTTCAGAAGCAGACCAGAAAAGACGACAATCTTTCTCTTGCAAAATGACAATGCCCTGCATCTGTTTGAATACCATAGATCACACTGCCCATCTTGTCTGGACCATCCTAGCACATCCACCATGTAGCCTGGATTTGGCACCTTCTGATTTCTGTGTTTGGGCCAATGAAAGATGGGCTGCATGGGCAACATTTTCTTAGCAACAATGCCACTATAGCAGCTGTGAAACACTGTCACCTCCACCGGTACGGATTTTTAATGAACACAGCATTCAGGCTCTTGTTCATTGCTGGTGAAAATACACAGCTAATGGTGATGGCTATGTTGAAAAATATAATTCTGTAGCTGATATTTTATTCTATCAAGTGGTGTTATTGTGCTCTTTGGATCTGTTGCAGTTTCTGTTTAAATAGGAGGTGTTACTTTTGGAGCAACCTACTTGTATCTTATGCTTGAAAATATATCTTTCTTCTAAAAACAACAGTAAAGATGAGTGCCTTATACAGCTATTTTAGGAATGACAGATGGAATGGGGGATATATGGAAAAAACATGGCCAGCCTTTTGCCATTTTGGGAAGGGAAAATTTTTTTTCTCTCAGTCCTCCTCCTTGGCCATGCAAAGATAGTAGAAATCTTGTATACAGCACTGGAGTTCAAAGTATAATGGCCATGCATGGATCACTAGTGTCTCAAGACCACTGAGTAGCATTTCAGACCTCCCATGCTTTTCAAAAATCCTCACATTTCTGGGACTATGTAAGCAGGCATTTCTTCTTGTCTCTGATTAATTCATTAAATGATACTTACAACGTATATTACAGCAACAGTTAATTTGGAAAGAGCTCTGCAGTCCAGGAAGGCATCTTTTCTTCTTCTTCCAACTTCGTTGTACATTATGGAGCATCATGACTTCTGAACAAAACTTGCACAAACTCTGGGTCATGTGAGCAAGAGTGGCTTGGTAAACCACAGCAGGAGTGAGAATGAAACTCTTGGAAGTCCTGACTTTGGGTTTGTTGGGCTGATTAGGGAGTGAAACTGAACTGAGAGCAGTAGCTGTTGACTTTATAATGGGTATTAAATAAATGCTGGTCACAGACCAGTGTACATTTTTGTTATCTTTAGTCCATAGTGGGCTGGGAGGAGAAAGAAATGGAGAGGAGAAAGCAAGGTGGAAAAAAAACAATATTCCTTTGTATAGAAATGATGAAACAGTTACGTTTGCATCTCAAGAACTTACTCCAAGATTGATGACTAGCTGGAGGAGAGCTGATGACTTATGGCAGTATTTGAATGTTGCACTGAATTTATGTTACTTGGCAACAGTAACATGCATTAACAGAGCAGTGTGCCTCCTGGCTGGTCCAGCCTGTGTCCCTTCAATCAAGCATACCAATGTGCCAGATCTTATATCTGAGGCCTCTATTAAATTCCTTGTAAAATTTTAGTGCAGCTGCTTCTCACAAAGTTAAAGGCTATTTTAACCATATTTCTTTTCAGAAATACTCATCATAACTCAGGAAGGACCCTTGATTTTCTCCTGCAGGGCCACGAAAGGCTTAGCACATCTGGTGTTATTATATCTCCCTGCAGGGTCCGAAGCACTGTGTTATGCACACTATGCCAGAATGGAAGTGAAGTGCTTTTGTTGCATCCCAGGAATTTCTCCTTTCCATCATAGGTGGGGGACAACTGTTTCTCAAAGTGTTGAAGGGACATACAACAGAAAAAATCACAAAAAAGAACAGTGCTAACTAGGAATAGCTGATCTTCAACAACTTGCTCAAAAGGCTTTTCCCATTAATTTGCCTGTCTTTCCGTCAAGCCAATTTGCTTAGGTTGTATCTTCTTTAACTATAAGAAATCTAAACAAATGAACAGCAAGCAACCAAAGACCCAGCATTACCTTTGCAGTTGCACTGGGGACTGCTCAGAACAAAGATAATCAAAGCAGCTCCAGGCTTCTCCTGGATGAAGATGAAGAGACATCTTCAGGTAAATCATAATCCCTCCACCCCTTACTCTACTCTCTGTGGTGTGGTGAAGGAAGGATTTGTGTAATGATCATCCCTGACCAGGTGCTGGGGGGCTGGAGGGAATGAGGGAGTTGCTCAGAGCTTGGATGTAGCTCAGTCCTGGAGAACACACCCATTTCATCATGTTCACATGCTTCTCTCTCTGAGCAGAGTATTAGAAACAGTCTGTGAGAGATGTTGGAAAGTTGTGCGTTTCTGTTACTTTCATGCTGGTGGGAATGTGCTGTTTGAAAGGACAAATGTGTTACATGTGCCACTGCAGATTGGTTCAGCGTGGCATTTAGAGCCAGGTTAAAACAAGTACCCTTGAAAAAAAGAGGCCATTAAACTCGGGAGCTTTACATGATGGCAATTTTAGAAGCTGATGGTGTCCATGTCGGAGGAAGTAAATGCCCCAAGAAGTTCCACAACAGAAGGGTTACCCAGAGACAAACAGTACTCATCTGAAAACTTTTGAAAATTGTATTTTCTAAAATCTGTTTGGTAGTGTTGTGAGCTGAAAGAGGAGAATAACTCTGTTGAAACGTAGTAAGGAGTGCAGAGTTGTCTACATCCCTTGCTCTTGTGCCATCACGAATTACCTACTGACTAACTCTTATTTGTGAATTTTGAGGAAACAAAAAAAAAACAAAGTAGAGAGTCATAATGAACCAGTTATTTTGATTTTGGTTGCAAAAAGAAAAAAACAAACCAGTAGTTTACTAAAGATTGTTTCATTCATAATCAACCTCCGATAAACTTGCATGACAATACAGCACAACTAGAATGCTCTGCGTTCACCTTAAATATATCTTGAGAAGATTAATTTTGAGACAGCTGCAGTCTGAAACTCTGCAGTTACAGAGTCATAGTTCCCAGACCAAGGCAGTTCAGCTGAAGACTTCTGAATGTCATTCCCATTGCTCCTTCACTGAAAAACCCATCCTTCTTGTTAGAAACAGGACTGAGCAAATCACTTAAAGAGATCAGAAGTCTGGTGACTCTGAAAGGCTGATTTTAGAGATTCCTGAGTTTGGCTTTGTTTACCCCAAGATGAATTGGGCATGTCAGTTTAACTTAGAAATTGAACAGTTTTTGCTTTTACAGAGATTAAATGGCTATTGACTGCTTGAGGTTTTTGAAGACTTTTAGTAAATAAATGACAAGAGTTGCAAAGCTGTAGTTTGAAACAATGTGTTTTCTTCTCTTTTGTTTCTCCCTAACTGAACCAGCAGTACAGTGGGAAGAGAATGGAAAAGCAAATGCCTCCAAACCTGTTGCAACAACAAAAACATGGAAATAAAAAGCTTCTTGAATGTGTTCTTAACACAGCGTGCCTGGTATAACAAGTGTTTGTTTGAAAAAACACCAAAAATACGTTTGGACAGAAGACAGGTAGGTGTTCGTTGGTTTTTTGTTGTTGTTGTTGTTGATGTTGCAGGAGAGCATTGCACTTACCTTAAAGTTTCCTTCCACTTCTTAGCTACTGAAGAATCATATTGAAAGGAACTGGTCAAGAAAATAACTAAAAATACGACACTGAAGAGCTAAGATGTGGATTAAGTTTTAAAATTATGACAAGGTAGGTTTTAAATTAGTGACAGAAATGCAATTTACTTTAAAAATAAAATGCCTTTCTGTCGGTCTGTTTTTTGCTCTGCTCTTTCACTTTCTTTCTGACTTTTCAGAAAGGAAAGGAGGACAAAATAGGCAAATGGAAGGTAAATAACAGTGTATCTTCTTTGAGAAAGGTATGTGTGGGAAGCTGTATTCTGTCTTGGAAGATCAGCTGAGAATGGTTGTCAGGAATGTGCAAAAATGTGTTGCAAAATCAAAACAATTCAAGAAGTGCCATAGAAATACTCAAATATATATCATTTGCTGGCAAGTGATACTTTGTATATGGGTGATTGCTTATTCTGATGGCAGCTTGCACAGACAGAGATCTGCACAGAACAGGATCGCTGTCTTTCATGGCAAATGAAAGGTCTCTGATGAAGAGCACTGCAGCTCTTGCAATCAGTGTAAGTTCAGGGAAAATCGAAATGCTACCTGAGCTGTCTTCCCCAGTCAGAAACCTGCACCTGCCAACTTGTATGACTCTCATGGAAAACTCTGGCCCCTAGCTAGTGTGAATACGATATATGTCATAATATACAGTGATAATAATGAGGAACTGGCAAGAATGAGGTTAGAAATTAGGACTTTCTGATGTTTATGCCAAGATTTTGGTGTGGGAGATGCACACATAAAGGATATTGAATGCCAGTGCAGCAGTAGATGTATGTAAAGGTCTTTAAGGGTGATCACTCTTACCAGACAGAGTGAGGCAGTGGGTCATTCAATAAAAATGCTTTTTACATCTAAGTACATGAAGAAGGGATTCTTTGTGCCGTCGGAGAATGCAATATCTTATTAGTGCGCAGTGATATAAATCACTAGTAACACAACTGCTGTTCTCCTCAAAAATGACCTTGTCATTGTGCTGAAACTGACGAGAGGTTTTCTATAAATTCCGAAACGGCCTTTACATTTTATTTGGTATTAGAAGAGAATTTTGTGTTTCTAGGTCTTCCAGAAAAAGTTGATAATGAAAAGCATGCCAAAACAATCCCCAAACCTCATAGATGAAAAGAAGATAAGTGGGAAGTTTGCTTAAAAATAAAGGATCTAGCTGGTGCCATGGATTAAATTAGCTTTTTTTGAATTGGAGGAAAGGAAGTGGTTGTTAAAAGTTATTTGCTGGAGGATAAAAACATATGGAAAGATGGAGAATTTAAGAGTAGAATTTATGCCTTGGATGTGAAGCTGGAAGTTGGTTCCATTTAGACCTGACCCAGAAAGTGAATGGAAAAGCTCTAAATTAAATACATTTGAATTGAATGCCTAAAGTGAGGAGAGGAGGATTGGGAAATCACATCATCTCAGTTCAAGACAGAAATTTGATATGGAAGGATCAGTATCCTAGCATGTTGCTATCAACAATGCTGCTACTAAAAATGCAGCACTTCTGTAATTATCTCTAATATTTCTGTGCTGCTTCTGGGTGAAAATTCTCAAGTATCTGCGTAGGCTGTGACACTTAAATAGGATGGAACCACATATAAAATGTATCTAAAGATGCAGCTGGAGAGAATTATGTGTTTCCAACTGGAAAATAAAATACAATTTATTGTGTTTTATTAGTCAGGATGCATCAGGTATGCTCCACTTGCAGGAAGGTCAACTGCTGAGCACAGTGTCACTTCATCTAGATGATTTCAGTGCTGTTAGGCCTGCCAAGAACAGCTCACTTTTACATATTGGTGTAAATAATAAATGAGTGGTTAAAAGCTTCAGATGAAAGCTAGGCAAATCTCGTTGTCTTCTCTTTGCAGAGTGTTGTTTTGTGCAGATGTTCAAAGCACGTAAAAATAGCTATCATGTAGTCCTTGCTGTGTTTCGCATTGCTTCTGTAATGGCCTGAACAAAGCTCCAACTGGTGGAAGGATAAGGGCTGATGCTCAAAGAGATGGGTTTCTGTTCATTGCAGAAGGCCTTCTGCAATCCTGTACTGGCTTAGTTCCAAAGCTGCATACAGCGTTCCAGGCATCGACAGCCAAAATCTTATGTGTTTCTATGAAGAATTAAACAAAGTTAAGAGAAATAATTTTAAGATCAGGCTAGGTCTTGCTGCAGCTGGAATAATATCTGCGTAAGTACCTTGCACAGAGTAAATGTGCAAAGGTGTCCAGTGTTTTTTGTCATTAGTTACTTGTTCACAGAAAACTGGAAACGTGCTGGAACTGCAGTGCATGAGGTTTTCATTCCTCATTAATTACAATGTTATTGACTTCAGTGGGAGTTGGAACGGTAGCCTGAAAGTCTTCTGAAATTAATTTAGGGTGAAGACATTAGAAAAGGGATCAGCAGACACCTTAGACACCTTATATATATGCCCTTATCTGCTGTGAGATACATGTTTTGAAACACTTTCAGGGCAGAAATTTGTTCATTTTAGGTTGTTTACAGAAAGCAGATTGGACTTTACTTAACTGCAACCAGAACAGCTGGGTAATTATGAATGTTTTCAGGCGTGCTTGCAAAGAACGTCATTTTTCTTCCCTTGTAAATTTCACTGGATTCAATGAGTTCACATGTCTGTATTTTTCAACATCTAAGGGATCAGTAGGAGTACTGAGCAAGGGAAAGCTATCAGCAAAGGCTTAAATTCACTGAGGAGGATATAAAGCTTCAATGGAAAACTTTTATGGGGTCTTCAAAATGAAAAAGACCAGTGACTTACATCAAAGGATAGAAAACTGTTTTCACCTTCTGGGCATTTTTCATTCCTTTCATAAGGTTCTGCTTTATTTCTGAGCAGAGGAGAATATATGCTTGCATTCATTACATAACAGAGTTTGAAACTCACTTTATGACTCATTGCTTTGATGACGACCTTTGTGGCCGCTCGGATTCTCTTTATTTAAGGAGAGTATGAGTCAAATGCCTTTCATTCCAAAAACACTGCCATATTATAATGAACTGAAGCTGCAACTAATTTAGTGATTGAGGATGTTCTCTGTATCAAAGATTGCTTCTCACAGTCAGATACATTACTTTGCACTGTCAAGCACCGATAACACTGGCTAGTTTTGCATATTGAGCGTGTATGTATATGAATATGAGAATGAAGCCAATGATCCTCTTTTACAAAAAATAAAATTCCACTGAGAGAGAGCAGGTGCATTTGCATTTGTCTTAATAGATGGAATTACCTGGTGCTATTAGAATTCCATTCTAATATAATCTGTGAAAACTACCTCAACCTATGGCAGCCCCATGGGGTATTTTGTAGACTTGAGGGCATGTAGGCAGTTGTTTCTTACTGCTGAGGTCATAGAATCATAGAATCACAGAATGGCGTAGGATGGAAGGGATCTTGAAGCCCATCTTGCTTCAATGTCCTGCCACAGGCAGGGTTGTCAACCACTAGATCAGGCTTTCTCCTCCATTCCTCTTTTTTCAAATACTTTCTACTTAGATTTTACCCTACAAGCAGAAGAAACACATGTGAATGACATTTCGAGAGACCTGTCTCCTATTTCTTTGACAAGACAAATTTATTCCTAAACCTTTTCTGGTGGATGGTTTTTTTTTTTTATTAATCAAATAAGAACCCCTGGAATGGGCTTCCATTACCTCTGCAGGCAGTTGATCTCAGAGCTGTCCTTTGCCTTGTAATTATAATTTTTTTTTGTTCCTAATGTGCATGTTAAAATCCTTGCTGCAGCATATGTCTGTTATGTCTTGCCCATCTTATGCTGATGGATTTGAAGACTGTTTCTATGTCTTTCTTCATTCAATTCCTCTCACGATTAAACAGTTTTTCTGTGTTTTTGCATGGACTGTATACCCTGAGCTTTTGATTATTTTTTTTATAAAGGCTTTTAAATTTATTTTAAATCAGTTAAAAATTATTTGAATAAAATAATCATGCTAAATACAGAAAATACTTAATCTTAATGGCTTAAAGAACAGTGCTTCTGCAAGGAAAGGGATAAATATGGGGATATCTTTATTAAATGTTTATGTTGTCATTATTTAAGATAACAAGCACACACTTATATTTGAAGGCTGCTCTGAAAATAATGCCTCCTATTTTATTTTGGCAGCCCAAAAGATCTTAGATGGGTGCTGGTGGTATTGCAGTAGAGTTTGAGCCTTGTTGCTAATATTCCATTACGTTTTGTTATCTGACGGATGGCAGCAGAGTGGCAGTCTGACCAAATGGCATCTAAACATGGAAGTGCATCTGTAGCAAAAATGTCAGTGAATTTCTCCATGCAGAAAAAAACTGCACCCACTGACAATCATCAACACTTGCAGAACGTTTATGGAGACCAAGCAGTGGATATGAGCTCAGTGAGGTGGTAGGTGGTGCTTTCAGCAATGGTGGCAGCAAAAATGGGTCACCTCCATTTGTGCAGATTTTTGAGTGCAGCATGCAGGCTTTTCCTCACTGTGGCCAAAATGCACAGCTGCTGGTGATGGCTGTGCTGAAAATCTTTTTGTAACTGAGAGTTTGCTCTATCAAATGGTGCTATTGCATTCTTCTTATCTGTTGTGGTTTCCATGGAAATAAACGAGGCATTACTTTTGGAGTGACCTATGTACAAACTAAAGCATCCCACGCATATGAAAATCATAGGAAGTCCTCAAAGATAGAGACCAAAGATGTGAATTTGATGTTTAATTCCTGACTTTCTTGAATTTCTGCCCCGGTGCTGCATGAGAATAATGGGTAAGGGAGGGAAGTTTAGCTGTAGCAGACCCTGGAGCCTCCTAAAGCAGATTTTCATGAGCCCGAGCACTTTATTGAGAACTGAAAAATGAATGTTTACAGGAATGCTTCT